CCAGATTTATAAGATTGTAATCATTGGCATGACTCTTTGTGATTTTCTCTTAAATTTTGTTTTGCACTAAAATTAAATAAATTAAAAAGTGTGACTCATGAATAAATTTCAAGTTGCATTGAGAACTAAGTGGGCAGGAACTATTCTACAGAGTTATGTGTACTAGAAGCAACCGTATTCCTTAGGATCACTGTTCACGTTCCGCACATTGTCCCAAATTTTTGTTTCTAGGAACGTTTTGTTCCATGTTCCCCATTTAAACACACTGCGTAAAAACATATTTTATATAATATTCGACACTGATGGATATAAAGTTTAAGTTTATAAATGCTATTTTGGCGCCCACTGTTTTTTTTCCGGCTATTTTTTTTTATCCTTAACTCTTTATATCACAGCTTTAATAAACTTATTTTAAATAATTTTTTCGAAATATAAATTAGATTCGGAACTCATTACAACCCCCCAGAGGCTTTCGGAAAATTCCGTAATGTGTTTTAATTACATATTCATTATTTTCAGCAAATATTAATAGTCCTCTTAATGGCATATCTTTATTCCTTGTCTGGCAATAGGAATTTTTTAGTACCCCACTCCTTTTGTAAGCGAAATTGTGGATAAATTGTGTTGATAGATAGGTTAATAACAGACTGGCTATTAAAGGCATGGTTTACCATTATGTCACCAATAAGATTTTGATCTGTTAAAAAAGAGGAAATAAGCTTAACTTATGATAGGGGCAGCCTCTACATGGTAGGATATTCATCAAATGCAACCCCTCCCCTCAAAAATTTATACCTACCCCTCTAAAAATCTCTCCCCCCCCTCTAAAAAAGAAACTTAAATGCACTATTCTACTGCTGACTATCATAATATTGTGAATGCAAAAGAATTTTTTTTATAACATGAATTCAATTAAAACTTCCTCATTTACAATTAATGCCTAACAGTATATTATTTGACATGAATACGAGCTTACTGTTAGAATTTTTAATCCGTATTGCCAAAAGATCCAGAAGTTTTATACTTTTTTTTTGAAATATAATGTCTATGATCGCGTGTCATATATAGATTTGGATGATGTTTAGCAATATCGTTGTATTTTAATAGGTGTCTATAATAAAAGTATCAATTTTTTACGGCGATACATTTTACCCCATTTTATCTAAAAATTTAATAGATACCCCCCCCCCCCCAATTAAATTTATCCTATCCCTAGTCTATCACCCTCAAACCCTAACCCTACCCCCATCAAAAAAAATGTGTACTGTTCCTACCCCTCCTCACATGTAGACGATGGATAGAGGGCAATGGTGATAGCAACTGTCTTCCGGATTTCGTTAGGAGGGTCATTTATATCCAGCAATTTTGGTTAAATTTTAGGCAAACTTCATTTTCGAGTATCGATTTCAATTTTCTTCATATTTTTGATGTATTGAAGGGAAATAGAAGGCCCGAACCCGAAATTTTTTTTAGAAAACCTTACCGGTCCGGTCCGAATATTTAAATACCGGTCCGGTCCGAATATTAAATCCGATACAAATATTTAAATACCGATCCGATCCAAATATCCGATCCGAATATTTAAATATAGAAATCAATTTTAATAATCACTCAAAATAAAAGACTTATGTTATATCGCGTTTACGTTTAGTTTTCTATAATTATAATCGAATATTTAAATAAAAAATTAAAAATAAAATTGATAAATTTAGATATATTTAAAAAAAAATTTGAAACGGCTCGACCCGGCCTGAATTTAAAAAAAAAAAATATTAGGCCTGACATAACCCGAACTTATTTTTTTTATAGAAATATTAGGACCGGGGCAGGTTCGGGCCGGGTACTTTTGCAGATCTTTAATGCAAATATATATATATATATATAATTTAACACATGTTTGAATCAACTCACGAAGTTTCATTTTACCAACAAAAGACTGTTCGATCTGCCCTTCGAATCACAATTATTCAAAATGATTGACATGATATTGATGTTTGACATGTATAACATATTGTAAGATTTTTATTATCTACGAATATACATTTAAATATTACTTGATTGACATTGAATATTATATAAATTTATATATTTAATGTATATAAACACCAGAGTTGTTAAAAGATACTTTTTAAATGGATCTAGATACAGATACAACGTCTAAAATAATATCTAGATACAGATTATTAAATCAAAAATCTATCTAGATACAGATACAGATACCACATTTTTATATCTAGATACAGGATCTAGATACTTGTATCCAGATCCTTTAACAACTCTGATACACACACAATTACAACACCCCCACCCTTCACAATGAGCTTTAGATTTTTATGGTGCATAGTAAACTTCCATAATTAAGTGTCCCGATCTGACAGTGAGACAAGTTGAAGCATATCATGTTAAATATCCTAATATTATCTTCCAACTTTTATACTATTTAAGAAAGATTAACTTTGATGACAATTCGCTTCAATAGGTCAAAAATAAAGATTTTATACTATCAAAAATTTAAATATTTTTATTTATAATTAAAATTTGCCTGAAATTCCCACAAAAACTATATTCAATTTTATCCAATTCCTCATATGCCACATCAGAAAGCAGCCTTACCTTATTGAATGCATCGGGAAGGAAAAAAATCACTCTTTAATGCCAATTATCATTTGGGCATGAATTGACTTAAGTCGCCAAGTCAATCTTTACAGAAAAGCAACTGTCAAATAAAATATAGTCACCTAAATATATAGAAATTTATATTTAATTATTGAAACAACTAACATCAATATTTAAATAAAGATTCTAATTTGAAATATTTTTTTTTTATCCAATCACATTTGTGTTTCAAGTTTGTCCCACGTGATCTGACTTTGAAAATTATATTTTAATCATGTGTAAAATTCCATGAGCGCTGATTGGTTGAATATGGTAGGATAACTCAATTAAGTATTAATAGTTTTCTTAATACATTTATTATATAGTAGAACATTAAAATCGAATAAAATTGCCTCTAGGTAGAGATGATACATTTTAATCCACAAGAAAAATAAATGGATAAATTTTTAATGGATTACTTTTTACTTTTTTTATTAACGTTTATTTATAGTTATTTTAAATTTCAATATAAATTATATAGAAACTAAAATAAGTTATTAAAAAGTTTATTATTATTATTAATTTATTATATTCACTTAATAAAAATTTATTTGTAAATCTTAATTGATAGTGAGTAAAAACAAGATGAATAGAAATTGATCTTTATAAAAAGATTGATTATTTTCTTTTTATTAAAAAATTAATAAAATAGAAAAAAAAATTAGATTTTTTTTATAAAAAAAATTGAATAAAATAGAATGGAAATTGATCTTTATAAAAAGAATTGATTATTTTTTTTTTAAAAAAATGGATAAAAATAGAAAAAATAATAGATTTTTTTATAAAAAAATTGATTATATTTTAAAAAAATTGATTATATTTTAAAAAAAATTGATTATATTTTAAAAAATTGATTATATTTTAAAAAAATTGATTATATTTTAAAAAAAATTGATTATATTTAAAAAAAATTGATTATATTTAAAAAAAATGAATAAAATAGAATAGAAATTGATCATTATAAAAAAGATTGATTATTTAAAAAAACAAAAATAGAATAGAATGGAAATCGATTTTTATAAAAAAAATGAATAAAATAGAATAGAAATAGATTTTTATAAAAAAAATGAATAAAATAGAATGGAAATTAATCTTTATAAAAAGATTGATTTTTTTAAACATGAACCATATATAAAAAAAAAATTTAAGTTTCCACAAGTAAAAAAAAAATTAAATAATTTATTTCTTTAATTAATTATTTTTTTTTTGTTTCGAAAAAGAAAAGAAAAAATATCCACTAGGAACATAAATTTTTTTTTGGTTAAATTAATTAGTTATATTTATTTTTATTATCAAAAAAATAAAAAAATTTTGTAAAAAGATAATGAAAAAAAAAATCTTAATAAATCAAACAATTATTATATATAGCAAGAACATAGTTGGTTGTTAGTGGAATGAGGGGGTATTATTAATTTTTTTTCATTATTAACTAGTGGAGTTATCTCGTGAATGATCATAATCATCCTATCGGAATTATAGACACGGGAGTGGATGCGCATTAGAAAAAAAAATAACATAGCGTTAGAAGTTGTGTTGTTAAATATTGTCTAAGTTTTCAAGATTTCGTTAATAGATATTCAAACCTTTGTGCTACCTATGAACATAATCTTTTTTTAATAAAATATTGTGTTTTCTTTCTGGCATCTCCCTCCTATAGGTTCTGTCATAATTTCCTTTAGACTAAAGTGTTTCGTAGAGGGGGGGGGGAGGAGTTGTTGCCCTATTTTTGAAAATCGCCCTAAATAAGCCGTTTAAACAACACTTAGTTGGTAGTCACATCATCGAAAAAACTATCAAGTCGAAAATAAAATAATAAAGTCATTTTAGCGAATCGGGAAAACGAATTTACCTTCACGTTATATCTTTTAATGGTTAAGGCTTTTAAAAACAATATCACGGGTAGTAAAAAAAAACAACATTTTTGATTGGGTAAAAAGGCTTTCAAATTAAATTTTTTCTGCGCGAAAGACGCTTATTGGTCCACGATAGTTAAAAAAATTTTTCCACTTTATATCCGAGGGAAGTCTTGTTATAACGGCTAGATTTGAGCCAATTTATAAAAATGTATGACTCGATATTTAAGCCAGTAAAATGTTGTACTAACCCTTGAGATTTCGTTGATAGATAGATGTTCAAACCTTTTGTTGTGCCAATCTAAGAGTAAAATCTTGAGGCTTAGCCTAAATATTCTTTCTAAAATATTGAATCAGCCGTTTTTTAAAAAGATCGGTCTTAAAAATCCGGTTATACAACACTATCCGGAGGGAAGTTAAACCTATTTTATTACTAAAATAAATTTTTTTGGCTCAAAATCGATAAATTAATAATCAAAATTAATTTATCTCATTTTTCGTGATAACTCAACAATGGTATTTGTTTTTGTTTTAAAAAAAGATTAAAGAAAAGGATAATTATTTGTCATTTATAAAATTCGATTCTGGAAAATAGGAAATCTCTAAAAGGGTAAAACATAATTTTTAATATTAGTGTCGTTAAACTAAGCTAACTTTAGCCAACAACTATATTAACCAAAAATATTCCAATCAATCTTCAAGTTGAGAACTCAACTTAGAGACTTGATTTAATCTTTTAGGCTAAAATTCTAAAAGCTTGACAGAGCCACTATTGAGATAATGTCAAAGTTAGGTATAGCAACATTTTTTCTTGACTTTTTGCAATGACAGTTAATATTAACCCCTAGAACTGACAATTTATTTATTTAAAAGTGTCTCATACATTGAAGTCAGCTGTAGTAATATTGACTTTAGTTAGAAACTCTTTAAAAGATTGTAAAGATTATCTTTTCACATTTCATTTTAAATACATTTTGCTTCAATGGAGCACCTTAATTGTATATACACTTTTTAAAATGCATAACGGCTAACTCAATATTTTGGCCAGAAAAATATTTAGCCGTAACACTATTCCTAGGTTATTCTTATCGTCATTGACCCTTTTTTATTAAGTGATAATAATTGCTTTGAAAAAGTTTTTTCTCCAAGTATTTGCTTTGCTAAATTTCTATTTAAATTATAATTTAAGCTGATATGCCTATATATATTAAGAAGATATAATTATCCAACAAAAAAAATATATAGATAATCGCTTATGAAATGTAAACAATTCGGGGGGGGGGGGAATAAAAAACATACACTTATTAAAGAAAACATGTTTTTTATAGTTAGTTATTCAAAAAAGTTTTTTTTACTAAATTTTTAAATGTTTTTTTGTAGAAATTTTTGCCAACAATGTATAAATTCCCAAAGTTGAATGGCTTTTTATATGTGGCTCGGCTTGGAATAATAAATAAAACAGTTTTAGGGAATATGAGGAGATGAAATCTTTTCTTTGAAAAATATTCTAACCATAATTAGCTTTAAAATGATTTAAAAATTCATGACCTAAACGCTTTACTCTAATCTCACCCTTACACTAGTGTTAAAAAAACGTATTACCATCATTAAGGAAAATTGTAATTATAGCATCTGATTTGAATATAAAATGAAACTGAGAATTGTATATAAGGAATTCATTAGTTAATCCCTATAATAATAATAATATTATTCTTTGATTTTAGTTTTTATGCTTTTGGGATTGTTTGATTGTAGCTTTAATTGATTTAGAATATTTTGAAATTTTCCCCTAACCTCTAATCATCCGGAAATCTGCTAAACTCTTCCTTCCTTCCTTCCTTCCTTCCTTCCTTCCTTCCTTCCTTCCTTCCTTCCTTCCTTCCTTCCTTCCTTCCTGGATATTCATAGTAAAAAAAAGCATTCATTTGACCATTAAAATTTTCTCCTAATGTTGACCATATATGTTTTTAAAAAAATCATATATAAGGAATGATTTAACTTTAAAAAGGTATATTAATAAAATATTTTACAAAGGTTATTAATAAATATTTTTTTTTGGAGATACCCAATATAAAATTTGTTTTTTTTTCCACAATAAAACAAAGATTATGACAATTTATTTCTATTTGGCACTTCTGGCTAAAACCGGAAGTCGGGTGGAAAAGTCATAGTAAATCCAAAAAAAAAAATTACTACTCCTCTTTTTGATTTTGATCTTCTAATTTTGGAATATAATTTTTCTTATAAATTTAAAAAAAAAAAATCTATTTTTATTTAAGTAGATACGAAATATATTAATCAAAATGAACATAAAGGCGATATTTCAATGAAATGGACCCAGTGACCATAGGAGCAGCAGCTATGGCGGTAGCGGCCGTGGCTGGGTGGTATTCATCCTGTCGATCTGTTTCGGCGGTAAACAATCTCATTCAATTATTAAGGAAGGAAGGAAGGAAGGAAGGAAGGAAGGAAGGAAGGAAGGAAGGAAGGAAGGAAGGAAGGAAGGAAGGAAGGAAGGAAGGAAGGAAGGAAGGAAGGAAGGAAGGAAGGAAGGAAGGAAGGAAGGAAGGAAGGAAGGAAATTTATAATAAATAAAATCCTATTTTCTTTAAAAAAATTAATACCTTAATAAGGCGGAAACTTCTAACAGAAAATCATTGGTGAATCTAGAAATCAAGAAAAAGCAGGGTGAAGAAGCCAAGACCAAAGCCGATGCTTTGAAGGTCGACATCGAGGAAGTTAAGAAGAATAACACGGAAGCCGCCAAAAATTACGAGAATCTGAAAAACGATTACACGAAACTCATTAAGGATAACGAGCAATTCAAGAAAACGATAGAGGCCATCAAGAATACTAGCAAAGCTCCTTGAAAGAGAACCATATCTTTTATCCAGGGATCATTATAATTTAAATACTGCCTTAGAACCTATATTCTAATCATTATATAACTATTCTCTATGATTTTGTTTTTAGTATAAGAATGCTTTTTTTTTTTAAAAAACATTATTATATTATATAAAAAAATAAATGCAATTTTGATTTAAAAAAATGATTAATAATAATACAAAATATATAGTATCTTTCTTTCTTTCTTTCTTTCTTTCTTTCTTTCTTCTTCTTCTTTCTTTCTTTCTTTCTTTCTTTCTTTCTTTCTTTCTTTCTTTCTTTCTTTCTTTCTTTCTTCTTCTAAGAGAAGGGAAAAGAAGAGAAGAGAAGAGAAGAGAAGAGAAAAGAAAAGAAAGAAAGAAGGATTCATTCATTAAAATGCATTTTTAAGGGTCGATAAAAGCAAATCAGCTGGAGCCGCCATATTGGTAACACATGTTGCAATTAATTATTCTCATGTTAAAAACTAACTATTAAATTAACTTGCTTCCTTATTATCTCGTTTAAAATTTTAATAATGATCAGTGTAACCAAGATGGCGTCTCCAGCTGATTTGCATCGATGTACACTTTTAATGAATGAATCGTCAGTCTAGGTATTCATTGGGAAAAAAATATATTTAAAAAATATTTTTTTTTATATACGGGTATTTTTTTTATGCGCGCTTTTTTAAAATTTTAAAAATCTGATTTTACCGGAAATGGAATTCCATCTTGTTTGGAATACCTACCTACCCTAATGAATTTCAGACAATAATTTCCACGAACCTTTAAAACTTAATATAATTTATATTCGATTTTCCGTACATTTTTTTAAATATAAATTGTAAATAACTTCAAAGATTTAACAACAGCAAAATTGTCTACAATTCATAAGATTAGTATTCCAAACTGTTAGCGGCAATCTGTTTTTTCCGCGCGTTATTTTAAATTTGAAAAATCTGCTTTTACCGGAAATACGTTCCATCATGTTTGGAATACCAATCTTATGAATTGGAGACCATTTTGCCGAACCTTTGAATCATTTATAATTTGTATAAAAAAATTTATGGAAAAAATCTAATATAAATTTTTACGAAGTTTCTAAAGTTCATGGCTAAAATGCCTAAAATTTTATAGGGTAGGTAATTCCAAACATGACCGAATTCCATTTCCGGTAAAATCAGATTTTTAAATTTTAATTTAAAAACGCGCTCAAAATACGATTTTTAAAGTTAAAAAAAAATAACGCATTTGGCGGAAAGAAAACACATTTGTACTAACATATATGATAAATATGGATCCAATCCAGGACAGAAATGTCCTAATCAAGAAACATCGGACAATATCTCAATCTTAATTGGAATTATTTAAATGTTTATAAAGTTCTTAGGGTATGTCAATTTGTTTTTTTGGTCCAATTTAGTCCGGGTCATTTTGTCCAGTATATTCTTGTCCTGGATTCCATATACATAGAGAATTTAAAAAAACAACAACTTGTTTTATATTATAACAATTACTGAATCCCCTAATACTATAGAAGTGGGGGTGTGGGGGGATAATTTTTCCGGATATAGCGGAGAGCTCCGATCTCAGACCACTCTCTAAAAAAAAATAAAAATTTTTTTAGTCAAATTTTAAGATATTTAACTTAAATAAATTATTTTATAAATATTTGCACGAAATTTGAAAAAATGATATCTATATAATTTTGAAAAATAAATACAGAACGCCTTTTTATAAGTTTTCGAGTAATGAACGAAGTAAATGCAGGGACACGAACCGTTATTTATAACGGTTCGGTTCGGTTACCGTTCAGTATGTAAAGAATTATAATGGTTACATTTCGGTTACGGTTCTTAAGAAAAAATTTACAGAGGTTCGGGGTTCAGTTAATTATAAAGGTTCATAATGGTTCATTACCGTTAGAAATTTTATTTTTTATTGAAGCAACACCACATCGTCTAATTTATTTTTATTATAAGCATCTATGAATTATATATATAAAAAAATATAAAAGATTCAAAAATAACTCATTTTTAGCCTCGCAAAGGCCCTTTCTACAGAAACTTGTGTTGCGGGAACCATCAGTAATCCTAACCCTAACCCTAACCATCAGTACTATAAAAGCAAGTTTATATAATGCTGTACATTCAATATTTTTTGATTCCTGAAATATAAACCGGTTATGAAGTTTCGTTTTATTCCTTTAAAATATAATCATATGGGTTCGGTTACGATTACGGTTCTGATATTTATAACGGTTTATAATGATTTAACGGTTCTTAACGGTTTACTCCGGGTCTCTGAGTAAATGCGCATATGATGTCTAAAGGAGACCGGGGTTATTTCGCCCTTTAATCAAAATATATACAAAAAAATTAGGTAAAAATATTCCATAAATTGGATAATAAATCAAACGTAAATATTTTTTTTTTACTTTTAAATTTTTTTTAGGCGATATAACTCAGTTTCACAATTTTATTTTAGCCATTTAGAAACGGGTGGGGAGGGTTTTATTATTAAGGATTCAACTTGGGGGAATTAATTAAAACATCTTTATTTTAAAATTGTCATATTAAATCATCTTCACATTTAACTTAATTCAAACCTTAACCCTAACCCTACTCCCAACCCTTATCTTAACCTTAAATTTAACCTAACCCTAATAATCCTAACCTTAACTTTAACCTAAACCAACCCTTAAACCCTAACCCTATTCCAACCGCCCTAACACTAACCCTTAATCCTAACCCTAAACTTAATTCCAATCCTTAATCCTAACTCTAACCTTAACATTAATCCGACCATAACCCTAAACTAACCTAAACCTATCTAACCTTAACCTTTACCCTTAACCGTAACCCTAACCCTTAACTTAACCTTAAATTTAACCTAACCCTAATAACCCAACCCTAACACCTAACCCTAACCCTAACCCTAACCCTAATCCCAACCCTTATCTTAACCTTAAATTTAACCTAACCCTAATAATCCTAACCTTAACTTTAACCTAAACCAACCCTTAAACCCTAACCCTATTCCAACCGCCCTAACACTAACCCTTAATCCTAACCCTAAACTTAATTCCAATCCTTAATCCTAACTCTAACCTTAACATAAATCCAACCATAACCCTAAACTAACCTAAACCTATCTAACCTTAACCTTTACCCTTAACCGTAACCCTAACCCTTAACTTAACCTTAACTTTAACCTAAACCAACCCTTAAACCCTAACCCTATTCCAACCGCCCTAACACTAACCCTTAATCCTAACCCTAAACTTAATTCCAATCCTTAATCCTAACTCTAACCTTAACATAAATCCAACCATAACCCTAAACTAACCTAAACCTATCTAACCTTAACCTTTACCCTTAACCGTAACCCTAACCCTTAACTTAACCTTAACTTTAACCTAAACCAACCCTTAAACCCTAACCCTATTCCAACCGCCCTAACACTAACCCTTAATCCTAACCCTAAACTTAATTCCAATCCTTAATCCTAACTCTAACCTTAACATAAATCCAACCATAACCCTAAACTAACCTAAACCTATCTAACCTTAACCTTTACCCTTAACCGTAACCCTAACCCTTAACTTAACCTTAACTTTAACCTAAACCAACCCTTAAACCCTAACCCTATTCCAACCGCCCTAACACTAACCCTTAATCCTAACCCTAAACTTAATTCCAATCCTTAATCCTAACTCTAACCTTAACATAAATCCAACCATAACCCTAAACTAACCTAAACCTATCTAACCTTAACCTTTACCCTTAACCGTAACCCTAACCCTTAACTTAACCTTAACTTTAACCTAAACCAACCCTTAAACCCTAACCCTATTCCAACCGCCCTAACACTAACCCTTAATCCTAACCCTAAACTTAATTCCAATCCTTAATCCTAACTCTAACCTTAACATTAATCCGACCATAACCCTAAACTAACCTAAACCTATCTAACCTTAACCTTTACCCTTAACCGTAACCCTAACCCTTAACTTAACCTTAACTTTAACCTAAACCAACCCTTAAACCCTAACCCTATTCCAACCGCCCTAACACTAACCCTTAATCCTAACCCTAAACTTAATTCCAATCCTTAATCCTAACTCTAACCTTAACATAAATCCAACCATAACCCTAAACTAACCTAAACCTATCTAACCTTAACCTTTACCCTTAACCGTAACCCTAACCCTTAACTTAACCTTAACTTTAACCTAAACCAACCCTTAAACCCTAACCCTATTCCAACCGCCCTAACACTAACCCTTAATCCTAACCCTAAACTTAATTCCAATCCTTAATCCTAACTCTAACCTTAACATTAATCCGACCATAACCCTAAACTAACCTAAACCTATCTAACCTTAACCTTTACCCTTAACCGTAACCCTAACCCTTAACTTAACCTTAAATTTAACCTAACCCTAATAACCCAACCCTAACACCTAACCCTAACCCTAACCCTAACCCTAATCCCAACCCTTATCTTAACCTTAAATTTAACCTAACCCTAATAATCCTAACCTTAACTTTAACCTAAACCAACCCTTAAACCCTAACCCTATTCCAACCGCCCTAACACTAACCCTTAATCCTAACCCTAAACTTAATTCCAATCCTTAATCCTAACTCTAACCTTAACATAAATCCAACCATAACCCTAAACTAACCTAAACCTATCTAACCTTAACCTTTACCCTTAACCGTAACCCTAACCCTTAACTTAACCTTAACTTTAACCTAAACCAACCCTTAAACCCTAACCCTATTCCAACCGCCCTAACACTAACCCTTAATCCTAACCCTAAACTTAATTCCAATCCTTAATCCTAACTCTAACCTTAACATTAATCCGACCATAACCCTAAACTAACCTAAACCTATCTAACCTTAACCTTTACCCTTAACCGTAACCCTAACCCTTAACTTAACCTTAACTTTAACCTAAACCAACCCTTAAACCCTAACCCTATTCCAACCGCCCTAACACTAACCCTTAATCCTAACCCTAAACTTAATTCCAATCCTTAATCCTAACTCTAACCTTAACATAAATCCAACCATAACCCTAAACTAACCTAAACCTATCTAACCTTAACCTTTACCCTTAACC